TTCGCAATGACAGTCGCAGCGGCAACGGCAGTCGCAGTCACAGCCTCAGCCTCAGCCTGCCTCAGCCTCAGCCTCAGCCTGCCTCAGCCTCAGCCTGCTCCATCCTCCGCCCAGCCGCGTCGCCTCACCTCAGTCGCCTTCAGCTCGCCTCAGCCGCGCCGCTGCCTCAGTCCTCACCTGCATCAAGCCTCAGCGTCCGCCTCAGCTGCCTCAGCATCAGCCCTGCCTTTCAGCCTCACCTCAGCCTGCCTCAGCCTCACCTCAGTCTGCGTTCAGTCCTCGCCTCAGTCCTGCCTTCAGCCTCGGCCTCGCCTCGCCTGCCTCACCTCAGCCTGCCTCGGCCGCCGCTCAGCCTGCCTTCGCATTCAAATAGTGCCAGGAATGGAGTTCTGGGAACTCGAAGAACACGAAGTGGCTTACAGTTGGCTCCAGGCATTCAAAATCATGCCCAGGAATGGAGTTCTGGGAACTTGAAGAGCACGAAGTGGCCTACAGTTGGCTCCGGGCATCCAAAATGTGGCCCGGGAATGGAGTTCTGGGAAATCGAAGAGCACGAAGTGGCCTACAGTTGGCTCCGGGCATCCAAAATGTGGCCCGGGAATGGAGTTCTGGTAAGTCGAAGAGCACGAAGTGGCCTACAGTTGGCTCCGGGCATTCAAAATGTGGCCCGGGAATGGAGTTCTGGAGCACCGAGAGCGTTTTGCGGGATGTCCCAAGAGCGCTTTCTGCTTCGGCGGCAGCCGCTGCGGAGGCTGTCCGGGTCCGCCCCACCCCCCTGTGGAGTCATCTGCTATCTCTTTGAGACACTAGAACCTATCAGCCAGCTGTTAGGTACACTATCCCCGGCAAGCACCCTAAGCCGATGTTTAGAAGCATATCTGGAAGCATTCCCCTTAAGATTCAGATGAGAATCCAGTTGTAGAATGCTGCTGTTCTCGCAGTCGTAGTCGCATTCGCGATGACAGTCGCAGTGGCAACGGCAGTCGCAGTCACAGCCTCAGCCTCAGCCTGCCTCAGCCTCAGCCTCAGCCTGCCTCAGCCTCAGCCTGCCTCAGCCTCAGCCTCAGCCTGCTTCAGCCTCAGCCTCAGTCTGCCTTCAGCCTCGGCGTCAGCCTCAGGCTGCCTCAGCCTCAGCCTGCATCAGCCTCAGCCTCAGCCTCAGCCTTCCTCAGCATCAGCCTGCCTCAGCCTCAGCCTCAGCCTGCCTCAGCCTCAGCCTCAGCCTGCTTCAGCCTCAGCCTCAGTCTGCCTTCTGCCTCGGCCTCAGCCTCAGCCTGCCTCAGCCTCAGCCTGTCTTTCCTCACAGCCCAGCCTGCCTCTCATTCAAAATGTGAAAATGTTGGCCCGGAATGGAGTTTTCTTGGAACTAGAAAACACGCATGGACTACAGTTGGCTCTGGGCATTCAAAGAAAGAACCCAGGAAATGGAGTTTCTGGACTTGCAGAGCACGAAGTTGCCTACAGTTGGCTCCGGGCATCCAAAATGTGGGCACGGGTGGGTTCTGGGTAATCGAAGAGCCGAAGTGGCTACAGTTGACTCCTGGCTTCAGAATGTGGCCCGGGAATGGAGTTCTGGTAGTCGAAGAAGCCGAAGTGGCCTATCGTTGTTTCCGGGGCATCCAAAATGTGGCCCGGGAATGGAATTCTGGGAGCACCAAGAACGATTTTGCGAGGATGTCCCAAGCGATTTCGGCTTCGGCGGCAGCCGCGGCGGCAGCCTGTCCGGGTTCCGCCCTGACCCCCCTGAGGAGTCATCTGCTGCTCTCTTTTGAAACCACTAGAAACCTATCAGCAAAAGCTGTTAGGTAAAAACCATGCAAAGCACACTCTGCCTCCAAATTCGGAACATGCGCAGCCAACCCGATGCGCCCCCCCCCCATCCCAATCAAATGATCCCGGCAAAGCAACCGAACAGCGATGTGTAGAAGCATATCTGAAAGCATTCCCCTTAAGATTCAAATGAAAATCCAATTGTAGAATTCTGCTGTTCTCGCAGTCGTAGTCGCATTCGCGATGACAGTCGCAGCGGCAACGGCAGTCGCAGTCACAGCCTCAGCCTCAGCCTGCCTCAGCCTCAGCCTGCCTCAGCCTCAGCCTGCCTCAGCCTCAGCCTCAGCCTTCTTCAGCCTCAGCCTCAGTCTGCCTTCAGCCTCGGCCTTAACTAGCCTCAGCCTGCCTCAGCCTCAGCCTGCATCAGCGTCAGTCTCAGCCTCAGCCTGCCTCAGCCTCAGGCTGCCTCAGCCTCAGCCTCAGCCTGCCTCGGCATGCCTCAGCCTCAGTCTGCTTCAGCCTCAGCCTCAGTCTGCCTTCAGCCTCGGCCTCAGCCTCAGCCAGCCTCAGCCTCAGCCTGCCTCGGCCGCAGCATCAGCCTGCCTCAGCATTCAAAATGTGGCCCAGGAAAAAAGTTCTGGGAACTAGAAGAACACGAAGTGGCCTACAACTGGCTCCGGGCATTCAAACTGTTGCCCGGGAATGGAGTTCTGGGAAATTGAAGAGCACGAAGTGGCCTACAGTTGGCTCCGGGCATCCAAAGTGTAGCCCGGGAACGGAGTTCTGGGAAGTCGAAGAGCACGAAATGGCCTACAGCTGGCTCCGGGCATCCAAAATGTGGCCCGGGAATGGAGTTCTGGGAAATCGAAGAGCACGAAGTGACCTATAGTTGGCTCCGGGCATTCAGAATGTGGCCCGGGAGTGGAGTTCTGGGAGGTCGAAGAGCACGAAGTGTGTGACTGTTTGCGAAAAACGAGTGCGGCGGCAGCCGCGGCGGCAGCCGTTCCGGGTCCTGCCCAGATCCCCCTGAGGAGTCATGATGCTCTCTTTTGAGACCACTAGAAACCTATCAGCAAGAGCTGCTAGGTAAAAACAATACATGGTACACTTGGCGGCCCCGGCGGCGGCGGCGGCGGCTGCGGCGGTTGCGGCGGCGGCGGCGGCTGCGGGGCTGCGGCGGCGGCGGCGGCGGTGGCGGTGGCGGTGGCGGCAGCGGCTGCGGCGGCGGCGGCGGTTTGGAGCGTGCGTCGACGGCGGCGGCCGCGGCGGCGGAGCGGCGGCGGTGGCAGCAGCGGCTGCGCGGCGGCGGCGGCGGCGGCAGGCGGCGCGGCGGCAGCAGGCGCGGCGCCAGCGGCGCCGCGGCGGCGGCGGGAGCGGCGGGCGGCGAGGTGCACGACTGGCTCCTTGTAGGTTTTTGATCACTGTTCCCTATTAATAAACACCCCCTCCCCCAGGCGACTGGGGGCCAACCCGAGTCCATGCCGACACCCCCCCAACCATCCCTTTGTAAAAAACAATTCAAAACACACTTTGCCTCCAAATTCGGAACAGGCGCAGCCAACCCGATGCGGCCCCCCCCACCATCCCTGTCAAAAAAATTTCCCGGCAAAGCAACCTAACAGCGATGTGTAGAAGCATATCTGAAAGCATTCCCCTTAAGATTCAAATGAAAATCCAGTTGTCGAATTCTGCTGTCCTCGCAGTCGTAGTCGCATTCGCGATGACAGTCGCAACGGCAACGGCAGTCGCAGTCACAGCCTCAGCCTCAGCCTGTCTCAGCCTCAGCCTCAGCCTGCCTCAGCCTCAGCCTGCCTCAGCCTCAGCCTCAGCCTGCTTCAGCCTCAGCCTCAGTCTGCCTTCAGCCTCGGCCTCAGCCTCATCCTGCCTCAGCCTCAGCCTGCCTCAGCCAGCCTCAGCCTCAGCCTGTCTCAGCCTCAGCCTCAGCCTGCCTCAGCCTCAGCCTGCCTCAGCCTCAGCCTCAGCCTGCTTCAGCCTCAGCCTCAGTCTGCCTTCAGCCTCGGCCTCAGCCTCATCCTGCCTCAGCCTCAGCCTGCCTCAGCCTCAGCATCAGCCTGCCTCAGCATTCAAAATGTGGCCCAGGAATGGAGTTCTGGGAACTCGAAGAACACGAAGTGGCCTACAGTTGGCTCCGGGCATTCAAAATCATGCCCAGGAATGGAGTTCTGGGAAATCGAAGACCACGAAGTGGCCTACAGTTGGCTCCGGGCATTCAAAATCATGCCCAGGAATGGAGTTCTCAGCAGCGGAGCCAAAGCGATTTTGCGAAGGATGTCCCCAAGCGTTTGGGTTCGGCTGCAGCCGGCGGCGGCAGCCCGTCCGGTGTCCCGCCCCGACCCCCCTGTTGAGTCATCTGCTGCTCTCTTTTTGGACCACACTAGAAACCTATCAGCAAAAGCTGTTATGTAACAATGCAAGTACAACATGGTGTGGCGGCGGCGGCGGCGCGGCCTGCGGCGGCTGCAGCGGCGATGGCGGCGGCGGGGCGTGGGCGGCGGCGGCGCGGCTGCGGCTGCGGCGGCGGCGGCGGCGGTTGGCGGCAGCGTCTGCGGCTGCGTCGGACGTTAGGCAGCGGGGGGCGCGCGGCGGCGGCGGCGGCGGAGGCGCCGTCGGCGGCGGCGCGGCGGGGGCGGCGGCGGCGGGCAGCGGCGGCGGCGGCGGCGGCGGAGGCGGCGGCGGCGGATTCGCCCCCAGTAGCTGCCCATCCAAAGACGACTGCTGAATATGCTGAGGCTCGGGCCAGACTCGGGTGCTACGTATGTGTTGGGAGGGCGGGTGGGAGTGAGCGAGACGGCTTGCGGGCGGGGAGGGGGAAACTTGACCCCTCCCCCTACCTTCTCCCCTGGACCTGGACGGGGGTTTCTGCGAGGGGGTGGAGCGTGCAAGACGGCGCAAGACAGCCGACGATGTTTGGGTGACGCCAGTCAGAAGTTACCTAACTTCGCGCATCGCGCCCCGCGATGCGAGACGCGCGATCATCTTCGCGCCATCGCGCCCTCGCGCCGCCCACCTGCATGAGGGTAACCACTTCGGCCCGGGCCGCGGCGCGCGGGTTGCTTGGATCGGCGCTGGGCCTGACCCGGGCGGCGCCTCGGGAGCCGCCGCTGGCGCGTTCCGCGCGCACGCGAGGGGGAGGCCCAGCGCCGATCCAGGAAACCCGTGCGAGGCTCCGAAAGTGTATGGTCATGCCACCGTTGCTTCTCCGGGTACAGCAGCAGCGCGTCGAGCGCAGCGCCGGGCGGAGCGGTCTCCGAGCAAATCGACTGGATCGTGGTCGCGTTGGTCTCCCTGCGCTCCTTGGCGGGGCGCACAAGGGGGGACGGGGAGGAGGAAGGCTTCTTTGAAAGAGGCTGCCTCTTACAAGGCGCCTCCCTACACTTCCAGACAAGGCCTGCGCCTTCTGAGAGGCAGGGGTGACTCTAAGAAGCCCTCCCCCCCCACCCCCATCGGGGAGACGTAAGACTTGGGCTCGGGGGACTCGGGCTGGCCCGACGGGGCCAGCAGGAACAGGACGAAACCCTACCTGAACTCTGACGCGAACTCCCGCTGCAGACGTCCCCACGAAGACTGGACCGCCAAAACCCAGGGCGGGCTCGACAAACACCTCGAGTCGTACGCTTCCCCCCCTCTTTGAGCAGGGACCGACCGTCCCGGCATTCCTATAGGCCTACCACGGAATTGTCTTAGAAACCTGACATGTTCTAAGGACAATAACAGTGCTCTGAGAACATAAACCCGATGTGCTAACACAAGATAGTCCCAGCCAGAAATGTTCTAAGAACACTTCGTGCAGACCACAGAAAAGATTCTTGGGACAGGCCTCGGTAGGCACATAGGCGAGCCTGGACGCTTCGCCACTGCTTGCCCTCCGTACGCGGCCGCGCTCCCCCAGGGGCAGCACCGGCTCGGAGGCCGTGCTGCAGCCCCGGCAGACGTGCCGGCCCCGCGGACCCTGGGCGCAGGCGCTGCGCAGGCACTCGGCGCAGCACCGGGCCCGGAGCGCCGTGCCGCAGGCGCAGCGGTCGCAGGGCACGGCGCGGCAGGCCTCGTGATGGGCACGTTTCCCACCACCACCACAAGTTGGAGGGGGAGGGGGTCTCCTCCTCCTCCTCCTCCTCCTCCTCCTCCTCCTCCTCCTCCTCCTCCCCTCCTCCTCCGCCTCCTCCTCCTCCTCCTCCCTCCTCCTCCTCCTCTCCTCCTCCTCCTCCTCCTCCTCCCCCTCCCCCTCCCCCTCCCCTCCTCCTTCCCCCCTCCAACTGATGGCGATGGTGGTGGAAAACAGGCCCATCGCCTGCAGCCGCGTGGCCACCGTTGGGGCCGGGGGCAGGCAGGCGCCCTCGGTGTCGCAGCGGAACGCGGTGCCGTTGACGGCGCACGCCGGCAGCCTGGCGCGCCCGGGCTCCCCCCTGAGGGCCTCGGTGGGCTTGTGTTTCACCACCACCACCATAGGTTGGAGGGGGCGGGGGTCCTCCTCCTCCTCCTCCTCCTCTTCTTCCTCCTCCTCTTACTCCTCCTCCTCCTCCACCTCCTTCCCCCCTCCAATTCATGGTGGTGGTGGTGGAAAACGTGCCCATCAAACCTCGAGGTGGTCGCAGCCCTTGCAGACGACCTCGTAGCTGCCGCGCACGGGCGGCTCCGGCATGCCGTTCTGCTGGATCTGCAGGCACAGCTCGCAGCAAGGCACGCTCTGGAGTCCCCCGTGTCCCTTCCAGAGACAGCCAAGCCTGCGGCGGCAGGACACATCTTTCTCGCGCGTGGGATCCCGTCTGCGACATTCGCAACCCACATGGTGTGGCGTGTCCCGATCAGAGTTAGTCTGGGTAGGCCCTAGACTCTCTCGAGAGCCCCAATCCGCACAAGCTCTGGGCAAGTCTTGAAAACCGAGGCTTTCGCAGATGAAGCGGAGATCGAACAACAATCGAATTGACAGCCCAATCAAAACTAGTCGAATCGACGGTGCGAGGCACTTGTAGACGCATGTAGAGGGAAGCCAAGGCATAATGATTAACACAATCACGTACCATCATCATCGAACACAACAAAATTGCGTAAACATAACTGTTCGGAGACCCGCGCGGATTTCTTCGGCGCTGGGGACGCCGCCAAAGAGCCCAAGTGCCGACCCGAAAAAAACACGGGGGCCTGAAAGTTTATGTTTATGAGTTTGCTCCTTTTCGACCATCGTCATCATCGCCCATCGCGAGATCATGATGACGGAGACGGCGTCGCGGGTCGGAAGCCCAGCCCACAGGGCCTCTGGCTGATGGGAACTGCGCGGGCATAGCCTCCTGATGCCTGCGCGCCACTGCCGCAGGTCCCGCAGTCGTACACCACCTGCTGGAGGGGCTCGTCGGATCTGGAAACGGGGGCGTCCACGCAGCCGCCAGGCACATTGCAATCCAAATTCAAGGCGCTCGCGTCGAAAGTACACACAACCCCGTGATGCGACCCGAGGCGTTCCCAGAACTGCCTGCTTTCGCCCGAGCATGCGGGAGAAGACGTGTACTGCTGCCGCGTCAGATCGCACCCAGCCAGTTCCCCCATGGCCAGGTCCAACGCTAGCGCGACCCTGAAGAACCACTGCGGGGATGAGCCCCGTTGCATCCGGGAAAACGAGCTGAAAAGCAAAACTCACTTGCCGTGAGCCGATAACTGTTAAGAGCGAATGCGCCCGCCGCTTCGTTAATCCCATCAGCCCTTCATGGCGTAGGTGGTCTAGGGTGTTTCGTCTTCCATCTGCCCCTCTTCCCCTTCGGGGAGCGGTTTACCCCTCCCCCTACCACCTCCCCTGGACCTGGACGGGGCCAGCCGCGAGGTGTCAGAGCGTCAAAGACGGCCTCGCCAAGGAAGCCAAAACCAATGGTTTTACTAGGGGTGGGCCCCATTTGGGCCTCTCAGGGGGGCCCCGCTAATTAAGGCGACCCTCTTGTTTGATCGATGTCCTCCAAGATGGCCCGAAGGTGGTCCCCAAGGCTCCCAAGGGCGGTCCAAGAGAACCCCAAGAGGTGCCCAGGAGGCCCCAAAAGGCCCCCAAGAGGCTCCCAGGATGCCCCCAAGAGGCTCCCAAGAGACCCCAAGGGGCCCCAAGAGGCCCCCCAGAGGCCTCGGCGAGAATTTCAAATCATTGTTTTTACCAACGTTTTGGCCACATGTTGGCCTCCTGAGGGGCACTGATCCAGATGGCTCCAAGAGCGCCTGGGGGGGCCAAAGATGACCTCCCAGATGGCTCAAGGTACCCCAAAATGCATCAAGATGGCTCCCAAGATGCTCCAAGACGGCGCCAAGTTGCCAAATCCCAAAACCATGGGAAATGCATGTGTGTTGCTTTCTCGCCTTGTCGCTTCCCATGGCCATCCGAGGCCTCAAGATGGCTCCAAGATGGGCCAAGAAGGCCCAAGAGAGGCTCAAGAGAGCCCCAAGACGGCTGCAAGAGCGCCCAACAGCGCTCCACGATCGCCCCAAGAGCGCCTCAAGAGGCGACTGTTGGGGCTTCCGAGGGGCAACGCTAATTAATGTTCTCCTATTGTTTGATCGACGTCCTCCAAGATGGACCCAAGAGCGCTTCCAAGGCTCCCAGGAGCGCCTTAAAAGGGCCCCAAGAGGCGCCCAGGAGGCCCCAAGAGGCCACCAAGAGACCTCCAAGAGACTCCCAAAAGATGCCGCGGGGGGGGGGGCATAAGACATAAGAGGCTCTCCGCGCATCTTTCTGCTTGATCGTTCCTGTTGCTCTGGAAATGCCGGTCCAGGATCACATCCCAGACGAAAACCAAGCCGCGAATCCGCACATCGAAAGCCACTCTGCATCCCCCAGAGCCCGCTGCACACGACAGAGGCTTGTCAGCTTGCTGACTGTCCACGGCGCCGTCGGTCAGCTCGGGGAGATGCAGGGAGACTGCACAGTGAAACTCCTGCGCCTTCTGGGCAAGTTTGTCAAACGCCTGCCCATCCTCAACTGTGTACGGATGTGTGTGAGAGTACAGATGTACACGGATGTGAGTGCAATTGTGCACTGAGAAAACGAAAGAACTACGAGTCGCAACCTCTGGAGTATCCACGGGAACCCCCACTTGGATGGACACCCGGGGTGCACAGCTCCACTCTGCAGCCTCCGAGAGGGAGGCTCCCAGCGCACCACGCCTCGGAACCTCGGATCTCTCGGAGAGGGTTGCTCAAAGGCCACCGTGGCAGAATCACGCGATGCTCGGGGGCCGGCTTCTCAGCCAGGTTGATTTCACGCCCGTCCGCCTGGCCGCGGAGAGAAGCAGAGCGCGCCCGGCTCAAGTGCAGAAAGGGTCGTGAGGACATGCGCCGCACGTTTCGGAACAAATGCTGGCAAACCAACTATCCTCGCACCCCTTCCAACCGAGGGTTGTGTCTGCCCCGTGTACACCGTTAACCTTGTTCTTGCAGCCGGTCTCGTTGCCCCACAGAGGCTTGTCCTTGCACGTCCGTGCGTCCTCAATCATGCAATTGCCGCAACTCTTGCGACAATTCTGGAACATGAACTCTTTGTCGTGCGCCCCGCCAGTATGGCCCTTCCAGCAGTAGCCGTCATCGGCCCAGCCTGGACAGTCAACTGCATAATCAGAGTTATCTTCGCACTGGCACACTTCGCAAGAATGAGGGCAGTTTGCGTGCATCCATTCCGTGTACAATCGATTGCAATAACCTTCTGCCTTCCAGTGTTCGCATCCGATGTGGAGGTCGGCACAGAAGTGGTCCGGACAACCATACCAACGGTTCACGGTGAGTATGTCGCCTTCCGATAAATACTCGCGCTGCCCAACCTTGCAATTTCCGAACACATCCTTCGCCTTGACTCCGATGGTTTCGAGGCCCCAGGATTTGCAACCAGCGTCGGGACCGTAGTGCATGATGGACGCCATGTCATAAGGAACACCGGCTGACACGTCACCCCAATCGTCTGCAAACTCCATCCACTGCTTCCACCATTCATCCATGTTGTCGTAGTTAAAGTAAATGTACTCTGCAGCCTCTGGGCGGTTGTGTTCGTGGCGCAGGCCGATCGTGTGCCCAAGCTCATGGATGGCAGTTCCGACACTGCAGCAGCCAGTGCCCATGTTCAGTTCGCGAGTCCAGTGGGTGCTGTAGCCTAAACTGGCAAAACATCCATTTTCGCTGGACATGTAGCTTACGACTCCCTTGCCTGGCGCGGACTCTTCAAATCGGATGCACGTCTTCGCTTCCCACTCCTTCATGGCCTTCAGCATCACCTCACTGCACTCGTCATTCATGTCACCGAACGAGTACTTCACGACCCCGCCCGGCCAGAGCTCAATGGCGCCGTCGTGCGGATCGTACACTGGCGTATCATCAATCAAGCGACGCGCTGCTTGCTTCGCGCGCCCGAGGAGTCTCTTTGCGACCCTCACGACCTTCCTGTCGGCCTTCAGGACTTCCATCGCGCTCTGCTGGAAGGGGTCCAGCACCATGTCTCCCTCGAGATTATGGTGCGCGCTGCAGGCCTGGTGCGTATCCTTGCTGCTGCAGCCTTCCTCCCCCTTCCCCTGCATGTGGGTCACCTTGGGCGGCCTGCCGAGAAGGGGCTCGTCCTCGGCGCCTGGCGGAGAACTGACTCCAGTTTCGCCGCCGGCCGTGGGAAGCTTCATCTGCATCGCCAGCCAGACGGGCATCGGCGGCGGCCCTCTGGGCGCACCCCCGAGGTAGGCCCAGCCCACCGCCGCACAGGCTGCCGCCGACAGCAGAGCAACGCAGGCTAAGCTCGCCCACGCGGTGACGCGCCTCGCCCCGGCGGGGGTCTGCGCCGGGGCCTCCTCGGCGAGCAGGAGTGCGTCGCCCTCCAGGTCCGGCCGCGTCGTTTCGGCCATGGGGGCAGGGCTTCGAGTGGCGTTCTTCAAGGCTGGCTCGGTCGGCCGGCTTTTCCGGGCTGGACGGAACGCTCCTGCGCCAGAAAAGCCTCGAGCCGAGGTGGCTACGGAAGGCTTTCCGCGCATCTTGGGGACTCCATAGTCGGCCTGATGCCATTCGAGGCAAGAATCACATTGCTTCCGCCGCCAAGCTCCAACAGGCCTCTGGTATGGTTGCCTGTCCGCATATTCAAATCCATGTCTGAGCCATTGCAGGCACCTCCTCTTGCACGGGGCCAACCTACTCCCGACCCACAGCAAAGCTACCAAAATGTCCCACGCTTACGTTCCAGATGCACCAACCGTGCCTCGACCAGCAAACACTAGACTCGTCAGACTGCCCTCTCCAGAGGATCGGAGAACACACAGGACTAGCCAGGTACACGAATGTGTGTTTGTGAGATGCAGCCCCTCTCAAGAGGAAATGCGACAAGCACAACGGACGCTGTCGAGCACCCGTATCTGCGGAACCAGCCTCTCATCCTGGCCCAATGGCTCTGGGGCCCCGAGGAGCGCCCTGGGGACCCGAAACAGGAGAAAAACCTCCAGCGCAACCTTGCTCCCATGGCTTCTGCCCATCGCGACCGATCCCTGGAACCAGAGCGTTGTGGAGGGCGTGCACCTCCGAGCGGTGAGGCTTCGGGCTGCCCGCAGACAGCCACCCAGGTAAACCGAGCTGGCCCCAACATACAGGCCCCGCCGGCAATTTCGGCCGGCATCACCAGGCCCCCCGAATAGCCCAGCGAGGCGTCAACAACCCCCACGCCGCCTCCAGGGGCACAGCTGGGACTGCTCGGGAGGCTTGTTGAGGCCAGCCGGCACTGAGTGGAGGGGCGCTGTCTGCGCGTAGCCCGAAGCCTCGTCACCTCCGAGCGGGCGCGGATGTCTCGAGACGCGCCCGGACCTGCCATGGGAATTGGAGGCGCGCGCTGTATGGGCCGCAGACAGCAGTCGCGTCGTGCTCGTTTTCGCGTGCCCGCCGCCGCTGCGCAGGCAACCCCGAGGGCCCCTTCGAGCCCCGTGCGCCGAGTACTGCGGGTGCACTATAAGAGGCCCGATGCCGCAGATTCCCCGAGTCCCTGGGCGCCTCCAGGCGCTCCTGGGCGCTCTCGGGGGTCGACATTTCACGCTGGATCCTTCGGAATTAACACAGGCGCTGTGGGATGGGGGACACCCTCTGCGCGGGGGCAATGCCTCATTTCGCAGCCTGTTGCTGGGGGGTGATTGCCAAGGGGATCCCCTGCAAATCAGCCCCCGATCAGGATGTGTATATATACACACAAGAATGCATTGGCGCTTCGCGCCATGCGCCTTGGTCCTTGAAGTTTGGCATGCAGGCGGAAGGGCAGGACTGCAAAGCATACAAATTAGCGACAACTCCTTGTTGCCTTTTTCCGACCTCGCCATCATAACAATATGTTTCATATCCTGCCCTCATGTGTCCTGTTCCTCTTCCTCATTTTCGCCCTACCCTGCGAAGTATTCCCCAGCCTCCTCAACTCTTTTTGCGGAAGCCCCTCCTTGGAGAGCCTCTGGGGGGCCTCACGACAATTTCTTAGGGGCTCCTTGGGGCCATCTGGAGACCTCCTGGGCGCCTTCTGGGGGTCTCTGGGGGCTTCCTGAGGCCAGCCTGCTTCCGACCGCGGTCCCCCTGAACGACTGGGTCACGATTTGGAATGCGTCTGGTGGGCACATTGGTTTCATCATGGGCCGTCATGGGGCTCTCTCCGGGCCATCTTGGAAACCTATTGTGCCGTCTTGGAGTCTTTCCTCTGAGAATCGGGGTAAAATGACAAAGGAATTAAGGTATCATGTTGACTCTGCTCAGTGGTAGAGGGCACGGGAAGAGACACCGATAAGACAGTGATTAAGGTCAGCAATTGCACTCAGGAATAGTAAGGGAGGAGGCCGGCCGGCCGACGACCGACGACGCGCAGCGGCCGAAGGCAAGCTCGCTCCTGTTTCTCCTTCGAGCACAAAAAGCTGCGGATTGGTACCGCAATAACAGCACAGACAGTGCACTGCAAGGCAAGCAGCGAGAGAAACAAGATTATGGTGAGGCGGAGAGGAGCAGATTTACTCCCCCCGCGGCGGGCCTCGCAGGGCCCATCCAGCCACAGCACCCCCAGCCTGCACTTATGTACAACCAGGGGAGCCAACCGCAAAAATCTTTTACAGCTCAACGGTGGCTGCCAGGGGGCTGAGGGCCGCAGAGGCCCGACGACTCCCACCAATAGATAAAGAGTTCTCTCCGCCGATTCGACTGTGTCGATCGGTAGAGCTCTCTCGGCCGATACGACTTTGTCGATCGGTTAAATTCTCTCGACCGATGCGACTTTGTCGATCGGTTTTGCCTGCAGCGACTGGGTCACGCGGGCCTGGCCTAACTCAGTCCTTCCCAAGGATTGCCCCCTGATGGTGGAGTCGGAGGCCTCGGACGTGACGACGACAAGCCTCCCTGTCGATCTCCTTTCCCATGGGGCGAGCGGGATCCGTGTCCCTCGCCACGGCCAGCGTGATACGCTGCTCTGTTGTGTTTGTGTTTGTTATTGGATGATTTCCCCTTCGTCGGGAAGTACTTGTCGTAATCTGTCAGAGACAGTTTATGCCACGTTCGGGACCACCAGACATTGTCGGTCATCCATTAGATGCGGACTTTGAACGTAGTATCCATCTTGGACGTCGTTTGCGTAGTGCGGGTAGTGGATCAGCGGGTTGTAGCCCGCAGCGCCGCGGCCGACACCCAAGGCACCATCGCGCGCGCGCGCGGGGGCCTCGACCAATCCCGTGTGTCAACCGACGAATACCATGAGTACACTTCACCTGCCGAAGCGGCTGGGCCGCTGGCAGCATACGGAGATTCGGTAACTTCGTCGCGAGCCCGATCGTCTTGGACGTCAGGTCTACGAGGTGGAGGTGGCAGAATCGGCCTCGCTTTTGCCAAATCATCTGGTCGTGTCGGCCCCTCGAGATCGGCTTGGCCGACGGGGGGCCAGCGGCGCCTCCGCTCTCGCTAGTTTTAGTCTCTCGATCTCGAGTGAATCTAAGAATCTATCTTGCAGCGGTAGCAATTGGAATGCCAAATTTTCCGCATGCAGTACGAAAGGGGCCTTCGTCTCTATCGTGAAGCTCCATTGCTTCGTCCTCGCACTAATCTTGAAGCCAATAAATGGCCCCCTGAAACTTCGTGCCCTGACGGCGGATGTCCGCGCGGACCTGTCTACCCAAATTACGGGCCCACTCCTCAATGAGATCATCCGTGCGAACCGCAGTGCGAATACGACAGTCAGGGGCGCATGCGTCTTTGTGTCGCTTTTCATGAGCGGGGTCTGAGCTCCCGCGCGGGGCAAAAGCGGCACTCCGAGGGTACGCAATACAATGCCCTTCGGTAATAAAGCTACTACTGATCTCACGAATGATAGCGATCACGCGCATTATGCGGAGACCCCATTGCAACTCCGAAACTGGAAGTTTCCAGTTCTCATGAATGACGTCCCGCACAGTAAATATCCGGGATTTCATGCGTTACTTCACCCGACAGTCGTCATCTATTGGGGTCACTTGTCCCCGGACGGACACTGTTGTATTCCATGACATACTGTGCCGCCACTGCCTTGGCCTGGAGCTGGGTCCATGTGATGTTCAACGACGCTGTCTTTGCAATGTGAGTATCCATACCCATTAGGTTGATCGAGATCAATCGCCCCATTAATTATGCGCTCGGCCTTGGACCCGCTGACTGCAGTGAAATCAAGCGTCACTTGTAAATTATCCTCACCTGCCGTCTCGGTTGAACCGGCGGCAGATTGGACTAGTCCTGAAACCAATCGGTGGTCAGAACATAAGTTGACACGCCTGGTAACGGACCGGGAAACACGGCGAGGCCGCGGCACAAAATTATTTGCCCAAGCGACCGGTGGACGTCCACGAGGGCTGTACCCTGTGGCGTCCGTGGCGTTGTCCTGTTCAACGGCCAGCCACGGCGCTGCCCCTGCTATTGCGTTGATCACCGTCTGCAACGTCGGTAAAAAGATTCTCTGATTGTTCACTGTGCGCCCCCATCTGTCCCAACCTTCTACTGGTTCATGAAGTGCGTCGGGCGCCTCTGGCCACTCAAAAGCAGCCAGAGCAGGGCAAGACATCGGGCGCGCATACTGGTCGATATCCGTTGACCAAAGCAAGGGACACCAGTCTGCGATCGGAGGGACTCTTATTCTTTGATTATTAGCCAAGTGTGCGAGCCATTTAATGAATCACCTCTTTAGAGGCTCAAGGTACTGAAAGAAAGGACCATGACGCGCTGGCAGCTGGGCCGCGGCGCGGTCGGGGACCCAGGCAGGTTAGCTACCGGTCCGGCTGTTTCCGAAGGTTTGACCTGAAGCAGCCAAGCGTAAATATTGATTACCGGCTGCCCACTTGCGCTCTTGCTGCAGATTGTTGTTGATGTTGTAAACTACATCCGCAGAGGCTCTCTGTTGCCGTTCTACCCGCGCTCCAGTCCAGCCGGCGCGGTCATTAGGAAGCTCGCGGGGTTTATCAGCATGCAACGAGATGCCGTGTTCCTTAAGGGATTTCGGAATAGTTTCATCTTTCCATGTCTGGAGCAAGTAGTCGTGACCAACTGTGCGTTTATAATTGATCGGATTGCTGCAGGAGGGGCAATGTCCAAAGCCAGTTTTCACCCAGTGATAATTAGCACATAGGAACCGACCGTCGCCCCTCCATGGGACAGATTCACCGAGCGCTTGCGCCTCGGGTGACAATTGAGGCATGTGACCTGGGATCAAAGACAACGTCTCGTCCATGCGAATCCAACCGAGCATTGAGTTGTTAACAAAATCTACCTCGTACGATGCCCACTCGCGGCTGCAAACGATAAACCAGGAGATCTGCTTATCTCTAGGACCCTACGAGTCTCCAATTTTAACAAGGCTGACGGCTTTGTCAATGTCGGTGAACTTCGGCACCTCACGGGACACAAGGGTCCCATCCTGGCAAATCCTGCACGAAAAGCGGGTGGGAACCCGACCGCTGAAAACAAGAATTAACGGCCAGGAATCCCCGTGATTCGGAAGCTGATCCCACAGACGGACTGTGTCCTCTGCGGGCCATGCTCCGACCGATAGCGGCTCACCTGGTTGCGCAACATTGCCCATGGCCACAAACTCTCTTGCGGGGACAGGTTCG